TTCGGAGTTTTGCTGCAGATATCGGTGGAAAAATTGCATTTGAAAACGCAATGATGAATTGCGAGCAAATTGGGAAGTGTTTGGAAAGTTGTTGATCGGTGCGGAGATTGAATGCGATTAAATTCAGCGAGACCAAAAGAGTTGGATAATTGGACGTATCAAGCACGAAATGCGGTGCTGTTCGACATCGAAGAGAAGCCGTTGACCATGCAAGAGCATTTCGAGAGACAAAAGATGAATCAACGACAGATCAATAAACAAGCGACTCGATTCACCGAGGATGCATACCCGCATTCTCGTCCAGTATGTGAATTTGTGTGCAGCAAATTTTTTCGTTTTCCCATTTGCTTTGATACTTTTCGTGGTGTTTTTAATGGAGTACGAACTGTTTTTCAAAAATTCACAATTGATCAGTGGAGAATACGATGTACTGAGTGTAAAAATTATATAATCAACTTCAGAATTCAATGCAACGCGCATCAATTCTGAGTTCGTCGAATCAGCCCGGAAAAGTGGATATTAGTGGTCAAGAAATTAATCAAGGAAAACACGGCGATTTCGATCTTGTCGTTACACCGTCACCTGCACCTGGTATTTAATTGTTTGCATCAGTATGATTGTGTAATAATAATAATGATGGTATTAATGACAGTAGTAGTGAGATTGTTCATCAAAGTAATTTTAACAGCGGATTTTTAATGTGATATTTTTCATCGTGTTTGAGTTGAGTTGGTTTCGATTTCAGTTTGAGTGCAGTTGGAGAAATTGATATTGTGATAAAAATCACAAAACGAATTATTTTGAATTGGATCGGAAAAGCAATGGTTTATTTCAGAGAATGCAACATCTGATAGCGTTTTTTTTTTCAGGAGTAGACGATTCTCCATTCATGACTTGGGGTGAGATTGAAGGGACGCCATTCCGACTGGATGCATCTGACATGCCAATGACTGGAGCTGACGGTAATGCTCCTACTTTTAAGGTTGGTCTTCTGAATTCTGTCATCATAGGAAGCCTCCATATTGTAATGTTATTTTTTGTTCGTAAAAATACATTTCTGATTGCAATTGAAGAACGTTTATTCAATAAACTCTTCTACTATCTCTTGTAAATTAATGGTAAGCTGATGATGCATGATTTTATGTTTTATCGGTCAAATTTTCGAATAGTTGTATGCAAATATGCTTAAGATGTGTGCAGTTGAATTTTTAAATGAAATGTGACTGAATGAAATTTAGATACCTGAGGTACCGATCCGAGAGAAGATCGCGCAAGAAATGACCGAAACAATAGCGAAACGATATCGTGATAAGAGAAAGGCAGCCATACGACAAATTGAAAAACATGCGTAAGTTTTTGGTACTGATTTGTGTGTGATTCTGCCACTTGTTACGAATACGTTGCTTTGATCACATTTTGGACGATTTGTTTAATTTGAGGAGGACACCTCGATTCGGATCGACGCACAGCACTGATCGCCTGTTGTCGATGTCACCTGCAGCAATGCGTCTTGCGACGAAGGGACTTGGAATACGACTCAATTCAGACAAGGCTCTCAAAGCCAGTTATACACCGTCACCAACAAGGTATATTTTCGAATATTCTTGAAATCAATACGTTTTTTTTAGGCGATATCCAGGTTTCCACGAAAATCTTATTGCTAATTTTGATCTAATTGTTGTTGACACTGTCCTGCTCTGCTTCTTATCCTCCTTTGTAATCTGTCTTTGAATTTTATCCAGCTCTGCTCATTATCTTTTGAATTTTCGCAGTCTGTTTAAGAATTTGTCGGTCTTTTTCTGACTTAAAGCGTTATCCAAATTCGATAATATAAGCATGCGATAATTATTTCAGTATTTCTCTGTGGGCAAGTGAAAGTTATGTCGTGAATTGATC